ATTTATCTCAACCTATTTTTGTTTGTTCTAATTTCTATTTTTGTTTGTCACATACATGATCATAATCTATAAGCATATAAATATGCATATGTTGGAAGAGTAACATATTTTACTGATAGGAATACACAATCAAAAACCGTGGAGATCATTGCACTACAGCAGCACAGAGACGGGAGAGAGTCCTCAGCACAGGCATATGGGGTTTGAGCCTGACTCTGAATATGAGGAATGAGAAGAAAAAACTTCAGTCCTCCTCCTGTGTTTCTCCTTTACTCTCACACTACTACCACACTCACAACCCTTCTGACAGCAGATGAATGGGGGGTTTTCCCACACCAAGCAATTCTGTGACACCAGCTGGGTGTCCTACAATTTATTCAATTCTGACACTATCTACCTGTAAAGAATATCAGATCCCACAGGTTAAGGGCTCAGTTCCACAAGACTCACCCCTAGGCCCCAAATTCAGATACCAATCACAAGGCCAGGTTGTTACCTGTGCTTCTGATAGATCAGCTATAAATCAGACGTTCCCACATCCCCCTCCTCGGGTTTGAATAATTTGTTAGAGCAGCTCACAGAACTCAGGAAAATAGTTTACTTACTGTTTACCAGTTGATTATAAAAATATGTGAAAAGGATATAGATGAACAGGCATATGGAAGAAATGGATAGGGCAAAGTATGTGAGAAGGGACAGCGGCGCTTTCATGCCTTCTCCTGGTGCACCACTCTCCCAGCACCTCCACCTGCTCACCAACCCTGAAGCTCTCTGAACCCCATACTTTTTGGATTTTTGTTAAGGCTTCATCACATAGGCATGAGGGATCATTAACTCCATTTCCAGCCCCTCTCCCCTCTCTGGAGAATGGGGAGTGGAGCTGAAAATTCCAAGCTTCTAATCATGGCTTTGTCTTTCTGACAACCAGGCCCCATCCAGGAGCCCACCAAGAGTCATTCCATTAGGACAAAAGATACTGCTATCACCCAGGAAATTCCAAGGGATTTAGGAGCTCTCTGTCAGGAACCGGAGTCCAAGACTAAATATTAGAACAAAAGATGCTCCTAGTTCTCTTATCACTTAGGAAATTGCAAGGGTTTTAAGAGCTCTGTGACAGGAACAGGGGGCAGAGACCAATACATATACCTTCTATTATCTCATGGGGAGGGAGAGGGCATTTCAGGCAGAAAAAATAAACTAATATGAGTCGTATAGGAGAGAATGCCAAAAGGTCGGAAGGGTTAGAGAGTAAATCTATTTAATGACCCAACGGGATCATGGAGTGTGCTGGCAGAAAGGAAAGCAGGAAAATGTTATTGGGTTTATAATATGGGAGCTTTTCTGAGCAGAGGGTACTACTACTTAGATTTGTTGGTTTTGTTTTCTTTTTTCTATATAACATTACAAAACCCTGAAGAACTCTGATCATGGGAGCCGGGCCTTCCACAGTGCTGCTGCAATGCTGCCTTAATGGCCTGGTCCCTACTGGTCACTTCGTTTTCCGCAATCCAGACAGTTAACAGAGCTTCAAGGACATGGTTTTCAGTTATGCTCTTTTCCCTTACAACTCTTTATGAACTATAAAGCTACTTGAATCCTGGAGTTCAAAGTATTTCAAACACCTTCCTTTGCCACTTTCCCTTTATGTCCCATTGCTGTCAATGGAGCCAAACAGAGAGAGATGGAGGAGTTCTCAAAAAAACTCCCTGAGTGCAAACAGGTGCAGCCACTATGGAAAACAGTATGGAGATTCCTCAAAAAATCAAGGATAGAACTACCATATGATCCAGCTATTCCACTGCTGGGTATTTATCCAAAGAACTTGAAAACACCAATGCGTAAAGATACATGCACCCCTGTGTTCATTGCAGCGTTATTCACAATAGCCAAGACTTGGAAGCAACCTAAGTGCCCATCAAGGGACGAATGGATAAAGAAGATGTGGTATATATACACAATGGAATACTACTCAGCCATAAGAAACGATGAAATCCAGCCATTTGTGACAACATGGATGGACATTGAGGGTATTATGCAAAGAAAAATAAGTCAGAGGGAGAAGGTCAAATACCATATGGTCTCACTCATTAAGTAGTAGATAATAACAACAATAAACAAACACATAGAGACAGAAATTGGATTGGTGGTTACCAGAGGGGAAGGGAGGAGGGACGTGGGCGAAAAGTATAATTCAGCACATGTGTGTGGCGATGGGTTGTAATTAGTATTTGGGTGGTGAACATGATGTAATCTATGCAGAAATAGAAGTATAATGATGTATACCTGAAATTTATACAATGTTATAAACCAATGTTACTGCAATAAACAAAAAAATAAAATAAATAAATAAATAAATAAACTCCCTGTATCCCATGGAATATAGGATGTTCTTTAACATAGAAATTGATGTCCATCTCTGGTCTAGATATTTCTGAAGCAAGTAGACCAGAGTACCAAAAACTGGATGGCTTACAACAACAGAAATTTATTACCTTATTGTTCTGAAAGCTAGAAGTCCAAAATCAAGGTGTCAGCAGGGCCATGCTCTCTCTGATAGCTCTAGGAGAGAATCCTTCTTTGACTTTTTCAGCTTCTGGTGTTTGCAGGCCATCCTGGGTTTTCCTTGACTTACCGATGCATCACTCCAGTCACATGACCATCTTCTCCCTGTGTCTCTTCACATTGTCTTCATTCTATACGTGTCTGTCTCTATGTCCAAATTCCCCCTTTTTCTAAGGACATCAGTCCTGTTGGCATTTTAACTTTATTGCCTCTACACCCTATTTGCAACTAAAGTCACATTCTGAGGTACTGGCAGCTATGACCTCAACATATCTTTTTCAGGGGGACACAATTCAACCCATAACACCAACTCTTTGAAGAAAATGAAAGCAACTCAGCATTCCAATCCCCACCCATTCTCTGTGGTGCCCTGATCCCCAGAAGGTACTGAAGAGTACCCCAGGTGAGTTCCATACCCCCAAAAAAGAAGCAGTGAGGTTAGAGAAGACATGGTCCATAAAAGTGAGGCAAGATAAACCCTGTCCTGAGAGTGAGTTGGGGTCTTAGATCTCTTGTGGAGCCAATGGCGACACAGATATCCCTCTAGGAAGGTCCTCAGACATTTGAAGAGCCTGGGTGAACGTAGATGCTGCCCCCAGAAAACTTTACCATCAATGCAGACACAACTAGCAGCTGACAGAGCAGACCAATCCAGAGAGAGACCTCGGACAGCTCCACGCCACCCGCATTGGCCTGTCACTCAAGCTCTCCAGCTCTGGCCTCCATGTTTAGTCTCAGGATCCCTACAACAGCTTTTTCACCTAGGAAATTTTTTATTTTGTTTTTATGGGAAGTAAACAAAAAAAAAGATGACAACATTTATATACATACAAACTCCCAGGATTTGAGAGAAAAGGGAATTTTATTCTGCTGTGGATTCCTCTCTCCTTGTCAGCATTGAACTGAGAGTTTCAAGCTACCTTTAAGGTGGAGCCATCACTGCCGCACTTCTTTGTAATTCCTCTCCCATCAACTGCATTTTCCTCTTCGTTTATTCTTTTTCCACTTTCCCCTTTGGGTAATAATGCCTTTAGTGTTCTACATGTGAGCTGGAAAAACCTGGTAGGAAGTCTGGTTGTTGACAGTTTAAACAATAGAATCAAAACACCAATGTAGAAGGTAGGGTTTTCAATACACCACACACATACTCCCCAGTGAACTGAAAAGAACTTCCTAGTATGACCAAAGGGAATTTTCTGTCTCTTTTCTTGCTTGCCAAGGCAGTGAGAGGGCCACGCACTTATTCACTCTTTATTGAGCAACAACCGTTCACGTGGCATTGTGCAGGACTCTTAAAGAAGAAGCACACATAGTTCCTCTTCTCAAATATTTCATTTGGTTAAAAAGATAAGACTAACACGCTTTTAAACAAGCAATAATCCAGAATAGAATATGCCTAAAGAAGTGGTACAAACATATACCAATTAATATTTGTATCCAATGGAGATATTTGGGTGTTGTTAAAAATTTGAGTTCAGATTCAAGCTATTTAAGACATAATGGTAAAGCTTTATGATATTTAATGTTATTAGAACATTTTTTTTGTTCTGTGGTCGGCAACTGCCCTTCACTTCTTATTCCATATGCAAATACCTGCTGAAAACCTACTATGTAGCAAGCACTGGCCTGTGGGGATCACTTCCTGAAACCCTTCCCTGTTACTATAATTCTAAGTGAAAGGAAGTAGAAAATAGTGGTTAAAGCCTTAAGATTTGGGGTCCAGAGTCTGGGATTCCAGGATCAAACTTGGCTGAGCAGCAGAATCACCAGAGAGACCTTTACAGAAAATACAGACCTCTAGGCCCCACCCTTGCAAACTCGGATTCAGTTGATCTGGAATACAGCAAAAAAAATCAATTTTTTTCACAAAACTGCAGATACTTCTGATAAAAAGATTTAGGAAACACTGATCTACCCTGGGGCATTGGTCTCTAAAGTGGGAGGGACGCTTCCAGGTGGGAAGACTAAGATAATTTAACAAGGATATGGGAAGAATATATTACAACTTCAATTTGTATTTGTTTTTAGTTTAAAAATTAGGAATGAAATTGAGTTTTACTAATATGTCATATACTGGTTGACACTGGGATCCTCACTGGGTCCATGTGTTAGATTATAAGCAAAGTATCCTGAGGGAAGGATTGAGGTTCCAAACTCAAGGCCGCTGGTAATAGCCACTGACTCATTCATTCCCTTTCATCTTCTTATTCTATTATCAATGTCAACTAAACTACCCTTTACAAAATGGATACGCCTTGAAAATATTGCTGCAAAGACACTGAAGCTAGCAGATGAGATTTAAAACGTAAGCACAGAGAGCAAGAAGAAAATGGCAGAGTTGGCATGCCTCTTACTCCTATCACAAGCTCTTCATCGGCCATTTTATGAGAAAAATCAAAGATAATCAGATCTCAAAAGAAATGGGTCAAAAGTCTTTAAGTCATCAAGAAGACTATTGAAATATGGATTTATAGCACCATTATTGAATCACTCCCTGAAAACATAGGTTCCTATGTACATTTGCTAATATATAGTGTGTCTGGACTCAAATTTGTTTTCTGATGGCAGTGCCAAATGGAAAAGCTTGAGGAACACTGCATTAGGGGGAAAAGCAGTTATTGCTCATCTCTTTTCCACCTCCTGGAAAGGCTGTGATCTCTCCCCATTTCTGTTCAGCTCTTCATGGGTTCCCTGCCTCTGTGTCCTCCAGAGCACAGTAGTAAATGGCAGCATCTGCCACCTGCACCTGGAGGATGAGCAGTGATGAAGAGGATCGCTCATAAGTCATGTTGTAGCGTCCCTGCTGAGAAGCCCTTGAGCCCTTAACAAGGAGTCTTGGCGCACATCCAGGGAAGTGAAGGTACCAGAAGAAGTTGTAAGCATTGGATATAGAGTGATTACAGGAGATTTCCGCCACAGCTCCCTCCGAAGATACCACAGTGGAAGGCTGGAGTACTTGGTCCTTGCTCTCTGCAACTGCAGAAAACAAATAAAGAAGGTTGTGACTTTTATGCTGCTATTTGGCTTGCTGATCACCCATTAGGTACCCTGAGTATTAATAAATCTGACTGTTTTGTTTTTCCAAAAAATTTTAAAATAATGGCATACGCTTTTCCAAGACCAGATGATGAAGGAGCCTACTCACCCTTCCAAAGAAAGCTGAGGAGGAGCCCCAACCACACGGCTTCCAGAGTGTCCTGTAAAGCCATGGACAAAATGCAGCTGGTCTCAGGCCTCAGCTGTACGTATGATGCTCACCAGGAAGCTGATTTAAGGCCACCTGTTTTGCATTTTCTTCTTTGTGTCCATGACATCACAGCCAGAATCTGCGAACTCTGAAGAGTGACTACAGTTGTGAGGCTGCTTAATAGTGACTTCAACCGTGCTTTGTTCTGTGAAGGTGGTCTTAAAGGGAATGTGTCTTTTTGGAGGTCACCACACTGTGCAAATTTAATCATTCAAGAAGCTTGCTTCCTCCTCTAAGGGTGTCAGAAGGAGTCACATAATTGATGGGAGACTGCTTCATCATTCAAAGCAAAGTGATGTATTCACACAAAAAGTATGTTGAACTTATCACGTGATATGATGATACACTAACATGTTAAAAATAATGATCATGAAATCTTAGCAACTGTAGTAGATGAGAGATGAGTTTTTTTTAAGGCACAAAAATTTCTATGTAAACATATTCATCAAAATTGGACTCCTTGCATCCAAGGTGGTTTCCGAAACAAGTATGGAAAGAGAATCTCAGTTACACATTTCTGTAACCAAAAGAAACTGGGTCAAGGGGCCGGCCTGGTGGCATAACGGTTAAGTTTGCACACTCCGCTTCACCGGCCCAGGGTTTGCGGGTTCAGATCCCGGGGGCAGACTAACACACAGCTTGTCAAGCCATGCTGTGGCGGCATTCCATATCAAATAGAGGAAGATGGGCACAAGTGTTAGCCCAGGGCCAATCTTCCTCAGCAAGAAGAGGAGGATTGGCATCAGATGTTAGCCCAGAGCTAATCTTCCTCACAGAAAAAAAAAAAAGAAAGAAAGAAATGGGGTCAAGAAAGACCCAAAAGCTGCATTTGGAGATGATCTCTTTTGGGTGGTACCTATTCTCATTTTGTATCCTGAGACTGTCCCCTTTGTTATTAATGCAGGATTTAATCATTCCCCCTCTGGCTTATATTGTTTTATGCAGAATTTTCTTGGGATTTTATTTGAAAAAGGAGAGTAAACAAGGTTTGAGGCAATTCAAAGTCTATGGAGTAGAGTTTTGATGTGCACCACCACCTCCTAGTGGATTACGTGGGAACTAATGGAAAATCATTTCCCCAGGCAGCCAGAGACAGTCTCGGTAGCTTCTCACATCTTGAAGAGATTTCATGCCCTTTGCTTTTGTTCAAATTCCTCATCCTCATTCAGTTTCTGTAAGGATATGAAGGCTATGCAGAGGAAACAACTGCCTTCTTGGAAAGCCTTCTGGTTACCAAAAGATGTTCTCTGTTCAGGTGAGTGGTTATTTAAAAATATACTTCCATGGAGTAAAATATTTCTCTTTCTCATCCTAAGATGGTTGCTTGATTCATTTCCTTTCCTTTTTTAATAGTGTCCTAGGTCAGGACAAATTAGTTTCTACCCTAATTTTTTTCTCTTTTTTTTACTAACAGATTCCTTAATGATGATGAGATGATTGTTTAGATCTGAGACCTTTTATTTATATCTGAGACCCCAAAAAGCTTCCAAATACAATACAGAATTCCAATATGGCTGTAAAATTAGGATGGAAAATTAAAAGACAAGTAGACACAGATTCATTTAGTGGAAGGACTAATATAGCTACTGTAATTAATTTGAGTTCTGAAATTTCTGACAACTGAAACATGAAAGGAAACACAAAGGGAATACAATTCTACAAATAAGCTGATTAAGTGTTCAAGCAGCTTCTTCCTGAAGCCAAATGGTATACAGCTATAAATAACTTAAAACTTCTTAGATTACTGGTTATGCACTTATGGTTCAAAGTTCCTAACTACTGCACAGTATTTTAGCATATGCTTCCTCCACATTTACTTATACGATCCCCTAGTGATGGGCTCGTTGGCTGCCTCTAACTTCCCTCAACACAGCAATGAACGTATTTTTATATTCTCCCTTATGAACTATGTGGAATCTCTTTGGGGTATGTATCCAGCAAGGATTGTCAAATCATAGTATGTACACATACTCAATTTCCCTAATTAATCATTCAGAGTAGCAATAGCCATTTACACTCCCACCAGCAGTGGCTAAACGTTCAAGACTCTCCAAATGCTCAACAACATTTGGTATTGTAAAATAATAAAACTGTCTAAATTTTACCAATATGCTGAGTGCAGAGTCTCATTTTAATTTGTATTAGTCTGATTATTATTGAAATTGAGCCATTCATGTTTTCCTTTCTGATACTACCTCTTCAAATCATTTGCCCATTTTTAAATTACCTTCAGTCTTTTTCTCAGTAAATTGCAGGAGTTCCTCATATGTTGATTCTTTGATGTGTTCAACATCACAAATACCTTCATGTGGTATACCCCTAGTCTGTTAACTTTGTCTCTGGTGTCCTTTTTTTAAATGGAAATCTTTCATTTTTATAGAGTCAAAGTTATCACCCTTTTTTTCACCTTAAAATTTGAGTTTCAGGGATCTTGACTTAGAAATCATTCCCCCAACCCAAGGCCACAAATATGTTTTCCCACATTGTATTTTATTATCTTTATAGATTTTTCTTTTATATTTAGGTTTTAATTCATCTGAAATTTGCATGTATATATGCAACTTTATTTTTCTCCATCAAGCAGAACAGTTTTCCCAGCACTATCTACTAAAAAATCCACCTTTCCCCTACAGATTTGCAGTACATCTTTATTATGTATAAAGTTATCTATGAACTTGGTCTCTTCGTGAGTTTTATGTTTGTTTTATTGATCTAGTTGTTTCTTTCTGAAACACTACCATACTGTTTTTATTATCTTTATCAAGCAACATGCTTTATCAAGATGTCCCTTTAATCAGTCAGATTTTCAGATGCAATTCAATAAAATTCATTCTGGCTAGTTGAAGCAGAAAAAGAGTATATTAAGAGATATTAAGTAGCTCATAGACTCTACAGAAGAGGTAGGTAGTGAAGATTCAACACTACACAGCCAAAAACAATGCTCAAACACACCACGGGGAATGCTCTAATCAAGCAATCAACTGTCATCACTACTCAGCACCAACACCACACAATCCCTTAACCAGCCACAAGGACACTCAGTATTGAATACCCAAAGCGCTTCCATTGCTACCCTGCTAGACACAGTCCCCACTACACACACTATAGTATACATCCGCATACCTACTCCTAGAGGACTATAATGAGCAATGATGATAGAGGCTATCCCTTCTTGCCTATGACCATAAAGAGAATGCAACTAAAATGTCTCCAATATGGAGACATTCTTTGTAGCCTAGTACACGCTCAATTTTTGAGAATGTTCCATGTGTGCTGGAAAAGAGTGTGTACTTTCTGTACATCTCACAAAGTTCCCTTTGAGTATATTTCAATCAGCTTCTGCCTCTAAACTCCTGCCTCTACAGGGAGCTCAAAATCAGTACAGGAAGACTACTGGAGAGCAGATGCTATGCCTTCCCTCTCCACTCTTCTATTCACCTGAGCCCCTTTACTCAGCAAAATTTTCTCTCCCCTCTCCAAGTTACAAAAAAAATTCTCATATTGATGAATGGAGAAAAATAAATTCAGGTGTGGAGGGAAGGAAAAAGAAAAGAGGGGCAGTAGGGTGTTGTTGATTACATGGGCAGTAGCCAGCCAAAATGCCTTTGTATAGATTGAATGGACATTGTGAAATGATCTGTATGCATCTCATCTATAAAGACTTAAATGTAATGTTTATGACAAGATAAAATTCGAATCCATTTGAATTCTTCCTAAGAGAACTACAGTGTTTAGGAGAGTGATTAGAAAAGAAAATAATACCAAATAGGTTTCAAAGGGGAAAGAATGTGTTTATTATTACAGGGAGGGGTGCATGGAGATGGGGGTGGGAGATAACTAAAGAAAAAAAGAGGGTAAATAATGGTGGAGCTGCCCAGATTGCAAAAAGCAATGAACATGCAATGTGACCTTATCAGTGAATTCTTCAGATTCTTCAACTAAACTTTTATAAAGTCTATTAAAAATTAGTTATCTACTGTAGTTGGATTTTTTTGGAAATCCAAACTAACGTTGGAAACGATAAAGATTTTGTTCTCTGTGACCCAGGTTGACTGAGGCACAACAAAACAGCACGAGTGAGGTTGGTGGGAATGGCAGAGTGAAGACCTCCAAAAATTCACTCCTCCATAAAAACAATGAGAACACAGGCAAAAAAAAAATTGTCAAAATTAACTTTTTCTGAACACCAGAAATTAACCTAAGGCTTGCAACAGTCCAAAGAGCATTTATTCAAGAAAGTGTCTGAATTTTGGTAAGAACAGAAAGTGAATTTAGGGTATTTTAATTTGCCCTGTTCTCATCCCCTTCTCCCCAGTTCTGCAATAGCCTTGAAAACCAGCAGCCTCACTACGTAGTGAAAACAGCAGCCTAACAGCCACTGGAGGAGCTGAAACTGCTTTGGAACACTCCAAAACAACATTCTCAGAGAATTGTCATTATTTGAGCTGCCTGGCACATCCCTGGAAACCTCCATTGGTAGGACTTGCATTTATTTGAGCTGACTCAAAGCTTGCTCATTGCAGACAACCTTTTCCTCAGGCCGATTTATTGAAAGTAATCAACACCAATTGTTTAACACTGCCACTACCTGAGAAGGTGATAACAGTGGGACAAACAAGAAGCTGACCAAAACACTTAAAGGAAAAACTGAGGAATGAGATGTCCATAGGGGGCCCTGAAAAACTCCAGCATATTCCTGGGAATCTAGAAGGCCATGCACAGGCATAGAGAAGGCTGTATGCATGCCAAGGGCCATTTGAAGACCCAGGAAAGATCTAAGAAGGCCCTAATCTTTCACCTAGGGCTGACCTTGAAGCTCTGTGAAAGCAAGACACGAAGTACAAGGCAGAGTTGTAAACTGCCTGGCTAATTATTGAAGGATTGCCCAAACATGCACACAAAGCCCCTTGGCAAAGAGTAGGAGGCCTACTGGTTCCAGGCACTTAAGGAAATCTCTGTCCAATCATTAGCTGACCACTAAGCTAATAAACTAGAAACTCCAGTAGCCACACATGACAAAATACAGACTTTACAAATTAGTTCAGGAAAGTAACTAAACAAACTGAAAGCAA